ATTTTCTTGGCCGAAACCGTATTCACGTTTGATAAAACAGGATATATTCGTTAAAATTTTGACTTTCTTAAAAAGGTGACTTGGAAAAACCGGGCAATTTTTTAAAAATTTTAACTTTTTACTTCCCGAGCGTAAGCAAAGGAAGTATTGTAATCGAGTCCGTCGGCCGACTCTCTACTTTTACGTTTTCTCGATCTTTCATGACCCCTAGAAGACGAAGAAATAGGTCTCCCATTTCCGTCTGTCTGTCCGTCCGTCTGTCCGTCCGTCTGTCCGTCTGTCCGTCTGCCCCCGGATTTTTATTAGACAGATAATCTCCCAAAGTACTCGACCGATTGTTGTGAAATTTTGTATTGATATTAAGAATATCATGTAGATGGTAAAACGCTAACCAAAATTTGTCTAATCATCCCCACCACTAATGCGATGACGTCACTTCAAAATTGTACATAGTAAATGGGTTTTCAATTGTATAAAATAACATAGTCCTACACATGTAGTTTACAACTCTGAATCGACTTTTCACCCGAAACGTCCAGATTTTTGGAAAAAAAATCAAAATTATAAAACAACATTTTGAAATTTAATTTTTACTTCCCGAGCGTAAGCAAAGGAAGTATTGTAATCGAGTCCGTCGGCCGACTCTCTACTTTTACGTTTTCTCGATCTTTCATGACCCCTAGAAGACGAAGAAATAGGTCTCCCATTTCCGTCTGTCTGTCCGTCTGTCCGTCTGTCCGTCTGTTGTCCCGGATTTTTATTAGACAGATAATCTCCGAAAGTACTCGACCGATTGTTGTGAAATTTTGTACTTATATTAAGAATATCATGTAGATGGTAAAACGCTAACCAAAATTTGTCTAATCATCCCCACCACTAATGCGATGACGTCACTTCAAAATTGTACATAGTAAATGGGTTTTCAATTGTATAAAATAACATAGTCCTACACATGTAGTTTACAACTCTGAATCGACTTTTCACCCGAAACGTCCAGATTTTTGGAAAAAAAATCAAAATTATAAAACAACATTTTGAAATTTAATTTTTAATCTGCTAACCAGAATGCTTTGAAATGTTGCAGATGTTTTAAGGCTATAAAGAGCATCATAAATCTTTAGTCAAAAAATATTTGCTTGTCCCCTCCAAAAACTTGATGACGTCAGCTCAAAAGTTTGTGGAATAAATCATATCTAAAATGTACAAAATATGATGAGCCTTTACTTAGGATCTATCACTCCATTCATATTTTTTGGATTTGCATATACAGGGTGACTCAAAAAAATTAATGAATGCGTAAATATATTTTATTGATTTAATCAGGAACTACAAAACGGAATGCTCTGACATCTTGCAGATGTTTTAAGGTTATAAAGAGCATAATAAATGTTTAGTCAAAATATATTTGCTTATCCCCTCCAAAAACTTGATGACGTCAGCTCGAAAATTTGCCGAATAAATCATATCTAAAATGTACAAAATATGATCAGTCTGTACTTGTGATCTATCACTCCATTCATATTTTTTGGATTTGTATATACAGGGTGATTCAAGAAAATAAATGAAAGCGTAAATTTATTTTACTGATTTACTCAGGAACTACAAAACCGAATGCTTCGAAATCTTGAAGATATTTTAAAATTATCATAAGCATGGTAAATTTTTGATCAAAACGTATTTGGTCGTCCCCCCTAAAAAATTTATGTCACCACAAAATTTTGCTGAAAAAATCCTATCTAAAATGTACAAAATATGGTGAGTCTCTTCTTGTGATTTATCATTACATTCAAATTTTTTCGATTTGCATATACAGGTGACTCAAAAAAATTAATGAATGCGTAAATTTATTTTATTGTTTTAATCAGGAACTACAAAACCGAATGCTTTGAAATCTTGCAGATGTTTTAAGGTTATAAAGAGCGTAATAAATTTTTAGTAAAAATATATTTGGTTATCTTCTACAAAAAACTGATGACGTCAGCTCAAAAGTTTGCCGAATAAATCGTATCTAAAATGTACAAAATATGATGAGCTTGTACTTGTCATTTATCACTCCATTCATATTTTTTGGATTTGCATATACAGAGTGACTCAAAAAAATTAATGAATGCGTAAATATATTTTATTGATTTAATCAGGAACTACAAAACGGAATGCTCTGACATCTTGCAGATGTTTTAAGGTTATAAAGAGCATAATAAATGTTTAGTCAAAATATATTTGCTTATCCCCTCCAAAAACTTGATGACGTCAGCTCGAAAATTTGCCGAATAAATCATATCTAAAATGTACAAAATATGATCAGTCTGTACTTGTGATCTATCACTCCATTCATATTTTTTGGATTTGTATATACAGGGTGATTCAAGAAAATAAATGAAAGCGTAAATTTATTTTACTGATTTACTCAGGAACTACAAAACCGAATGCTTCGAAATCTTGAAGATATTTTAAAATTATCATAAGCATGGTCAATTTTTGATCAAAACGTATTTGGTCGTCCCCCCTAAAAAATCTATGTCACCACAAAATTTTGCTGAAAAAATCCTATCTAAAATGTACAAAATATGGTGAGTCTCTTCTTGTGATTTATCATTACATTCAAATTTTTTCGATTTCCATATACAGGGTGACTCAAAAAAATTAATGAATGCGTAAATTTATTTTATTGATTTAATCAGGAACTACAAAACCGAATGCTTTGAAATCTTGCAGATGTTTTAAGGTTATAAAGAGCATAATAAATTTTTAGTCAAAATATATTTGGTTATCTTCTACAAAAAACTGATGACGTCAGCTCAAAAGTTTGCCGAATAAATCGTATCTAAAATGTACAAAATATGATGAGTCTGTACTTGTGATTTATCATTCCATTCATATTTTTAGATTTGCATATGCAGGGTGACTCAAAAAAATTAATGAAGGCGTGAATATATTTTATCGATTTAATCAGGAATTACAAAACCGAATGCTTTGAAATCTTGGGAATATTTTAAAGTTATTATAAGCATGGTAAACTTTTGTTCAAAATGTATTTGTTCATCCCTCCTAAAAAAATTGATGACGTCACCCTTAAATTTTGCTGAATAAATCCTATCTAAAATGCAAAAAATATGATGAGTTTGTACTTGTGATTTATCATTCCATTCATATTTTTTAGATTTTCTTAAGAGGTGGTTCAAAAAAATTAATGAAGTCAATTTATTTTATTGATTAAATTAAAGGCAACACTTATTATTAGTATTACACCCCAACCAACCCAATTTGGTAGACACAAAATTTGTTAAAGGAAAAACTCGGTTGAAACATAAGGGTAGCACGCTTATTTACATCGACTTTAACATTACAGACCTGCATTTGTTTTATGCGTTCACTTGGTTCCGCGAATGTGGAATAGACATGTTTATAATCAACCAATTGTGAATTCCACCGTCAAAAATTAAAATAAAACCCAATGTTTTATATAACAAGCGGAAGTCGAAGCAATAAAACCGATGGTCGTTTTGTTTACAGTTTCTCTGTTTGACTCTCACGTATGCTGTTACGCCTGTCATCTTAAATTAAGAATGTTTATACATACACGATTTTCAGTTGCCTCTGATACGTATACGTGAGTAAATTGTTTCGTTATTTTATTGATTATTACAAATCAATATTCAAAACGACCCAATTCATTTTCCCGAAAATTTGAGAATATAATAATTTCATTCTTAGTATTACACTACATCTATCCCAACTGATATACGTGTCCTTGCAAAAATGTTGATGACGTCATCGCAATTTTTTTTTAAATTCCCACTACAAAAATGTAATGAGAAAAAAAACACAATAGGCATGCAGTCGTCAAGTTTCCGACAGCGAGGGAAGTACTGTCTAAACTCTTTAGACCAATTTTTTTATTGGCATGGACTATTTAAATTTGGCGGTTGAGGACTCCAATGTCAATAAGGGTGGTTTTGTAAAATCAGCCTGTATGTTGCATCTATATTAATCTATGGTAATACAAAAAATAACAGCATTGTATTCCCAAAATTTTCTGTGAAAATGGAGTGAGTCGTTCCTGATTTAATCAATAAAATAATCTGTTCAAGCAAATCTAAAAAATATGAATGCAATAATAAATCACAAGTAAAAACTCATCATATTTTGCACACTTTGGGTAGAATTTATTCGGCAAAATTTTGAGATGACGTCATCAATTTTTGGGGGGGAATAAACAGATTTATTTTGTAAGAAAAATCGCTGCCACGGAACGAGAGAAATCAAGCGTCGACGGGATTATAAAGGAAATTGCCTGTATAGATAAGATTAACGCGGGAAGGAAACATCACATTAAACTCGTTCCGTTTTCTCGCCTACTCAAATATTACTTGACGTTATCAATTAATACCTGTACTCGAGATTGTTACTTTGGAATTGTACGTCTTCATGGAAGATTTTGGTCCAGGAACAGATTCGTGATAACAAGTCTAATAAATATTTGGTAATTTACTCTATCATGGGTAAACACATCTTTGAATTCAAATATAAACAGTTTGTGGACTTCACACTGAAGAAACCACCGGTTTATTCCTTCTCCTGTACTACCCAGTTTTAATTTTACTTTGTGTGATTATTTTATCGTCAATGAGCGCGTACTTTCACCAATTATTGTATTCCTAGTGCGTCATTTCCTGTAGAACGTTAAGACTTTTTTCCGCTGACAGTGAGAACATGTAAACATTGATATGAAAAAGCTGCCAAGAAGTTTCGTTTTAGCGAAAGCAGAGCTGTGCATTTTTGTATAGCTAGTAATAAATGTATTAATTTATCGTTGAACGAAATTTCCACCAAATCCGCTCCGGCCGTGGCCTCGATCTAAGTAAAAAACCCATTTTCTAAAAGTGCACTGAATCCTGTAATTACAGTATAGACAAAACACCAGATAAGAAACCGGTTATCACTTAAAAATGAATTAATAAACCCAAACACCACGCTTTCCAGGAAACGAAGCCAACAACTCCAATTTCATTCATCTTTATTACAAAATTAATGCATGTATCAAACCATAAAACTTACTATTAGTATGATGTATTACACAATCAGAATGTAAAAGAATACTTAATTAAGCAGTCTCAGGCTCCCTGTTGTAGGTGTCCATGATTTTCTCCATAATTTCCCAGTGCTTGTCCTTCTGCAGATCCTTAACAAACACCGAATACCACGTCTCGTCGTCCTTATCCTCGATCAGCGGCAACCTCACCCCATAACACTGCAACGCCAGCGATATACAAGCGACCGCGACGTGCTGCGGCTGATAATCCAGAATGCTAGGGTCGTGGTGGAAGTCCTGCAGAAACGCCGCTGAAGTCCTCGCTATCGGTACCTGCCCCCACGTGTCCTTCCCCAACCAAGCCTCCATCGACCTCAAATAGTGCAACATGTACTTATGGGGGTGCGTGATCGACACTTCGAACTTCAGCACCCTCATAATCAGGAGTTCCGCTTGCACGATCGCGTCGCGCATGCTCCAGTACTCGTCCCCGATTTCGAGGGGGCTGCTGCCCCGATGGAGGGTGTTGTGCGCCACGTTGATGATATCCCTGATCTTGAGAGGGTCATCTTTCACTTTCCCGGCGAGATACAGCGTAGACGCGGCGATTAACTGTAAATAAATTGCAAGTGTGAATGAACCAGATTTGAACTTTCATAGCCTCAGGCTGTCTACACTTACAAAACAGTCGTATTTTGACTGCTCGACTTCTTTGAAAAATTTGTGCATTAAGATGGCAGCAGTGGCTAGGGTTAAAGGTTGGCCTTGCAGTTTCATGCCGCATTCGAATATGAACCGAGCTGGGGTGAAGCCGCCGTTGAAGTCGAGGTTTCTGTAGTCTACGGGGGTGATGCGTTTGTTGCGCTCGCGTTGCAGTTCCATAACATCGATGACGTCCTTCATTTTGAGGCTACAAGTCGAGGAATAGAGGTTGTAACCCAATTTTGGAAATTTTGCTAACCTGGGATTGGTTGATGTTCGGAACCACCCACCGGCTTTTTTGCTATTGATTTAGAGCGGTAGTTTGTTACTAAGTGAACTGTGCCGGGGGCCACCCCAATCTGGACAGTCAAAGTGTAAACAAATTGTTGTCAAAATTGGTACTGGAGGAATTGACAAAGCGCTTGCGGTTTTAACAAAATGGGTGGTACGCACAATGCCACGAGGGGGCGCTCCAATTAAAAAATTTCACGAAATTAACAACTCAGATGAATATAATCGCGTAATTAGGGACGACCTCGGGTTTACTACCCTTAAAGCGACAATTAGTGCCCGGAAGGGGTTTCTGCGACCAAAAACAAGCAACAATAGTGTGACAGTAGTTAAGTTGGTGCTCCTGCGCAGCTAGTTGTGGCAACGACAGACTGAAAATTCCCCAACTCTTCTGCTTCTTGGATACGTCAAGTAACAAGGTAAATTTCACGTTTTTTACTTTTATCCAAAAACTTAGCCCCCATCCTTCGATTTCTCACCCCATCCACCACTAAAACAAACCTTCCACACATCATGAACTCGAAATTTTTCTTTGTTTCAGAAATTCCACAAAAATGTCGGACGTCGAAGTGTGAGTACCTAACCTTATTGTTTATTTCCGCAAAAACAGCCCCTTCGTGATGATTCTTGGCGGCTCCCTCTTCTGAGAGTTACCCAATTAAAAAACCGTGCTGATAGTCGCCGTCTGAATTTTCGAAAACGATTAATTATTGAAATGTGAGTGTGTGTGGAACCTAACCTATTCGTGTTTTTAGTGATGACACCCCGGTGGCCCCACCGACCACCGGTGGCGCGATGGATGTCAACCAAGCCCTGCAAGAAGTCCTAAAGACGGCACTCATCCACGATGGGATCGTACACGGTTTGCATGAAGCCGCCAAAGCTCTGGATAAGCGACAGGCCGTTTTGTGCGTGTTGGCGGAGAATTGCGACGAACCCATGTACAAAAAATTAGTTTCGGCGCTATGTTCCGAACACAATATTCCCTTGATTAAAGTCGACAATAACAAAAAGTTGGGAGAGTGGTCAGGACTTTGCAAAATCGACAATACTGGCAAAGCGAGGAAAGTTGTTGGGTGCTCGTGTGTTGTAATCAGGGTGAGTGTGTTTTTAAATTGGTATTTTATGGGTAAAGTGTGATGAGATTACGGTAGGCTCCCTCTTCTGATACCCAAATATCACCTGATGTGATTATACCTTCTGACTGTCTATCAATTTAGTTCCACTTGTGTGGTGTTAGTAAGATCTATAGTTGCGTTTTTGTTTTAGGATTACGGCGAGGAATCCCCAGCCCTAGATGTTCTTAAAGAATACCTTAAGAATGCTAAGTAATTGTTTATTTTATAAAAAATAAAACTTTAATACAACTATTCAGTATTATTACAAGCTTCCTTGTGTTGCGGCCAGTGGGTCACCTGACACGAACGTGAACAATACCAGACTTTCTTACAACGCGAGCATCTTTGTATGGCATTTTTGCCACATTGTTCACACGACGCTTTCTCTTTGACCTCAAACTTGTCGATTAAGTCGGTGTTGTAGGCTTCACTCAACCTGAAAGAACAATGTTGCAACTTCATAGATAATTACTGATAACACTAACATTTGCGCATTTTCCATTAGCGTCTTCTGGTCGTTGCAAAATATTGTAGGAAGTTGTTCTTTTGCTAATTTCTTCCATTTACCTCCAGATTGCTCAAGAATTTTTTCCTTGATTTCTAGAACGGTTTCAAGGAGAATGGGTTTGGAAGCTTTCGCCACTTGTTCCATTATAGACATGTGTGATAGCCATTGTTTGAGTTCGATAAGGGGCGACAGCTGATCTAGGAGTGTAGGGGTTAACATCATCATTAATTTAGTTAATTGGGAACGACGAGCTTCAGTGATCGTGTAGTAGTCTTTGCAAGCCGGATCTAAGAGTAAATGGCGCAAAGTCAACCAGACCTTGAAATTAATAAAAATACAAATTTAAATTAACCTTCTTCAATTTGCGTTGTAACAGAGTGTATTTAAAACGTTTTTACTGTACCTGCGCCTCTACCTGCCCCAGCGCCTCCCCATCCCAGTCCATCCACTTCCCGCCTCTGTACTGCTTCCCGTTCTTCACCCACGGGCGCACCAGCAGCAGCTGCGCAAACAGCACAGGCACATCATGCGTATCGTAAATCCGCGAACAAATATTCAAAGTCAGCACCTCCAAGTTCTCCGCCAGATAACGAATAATCGAAAGCGACCTTATGCCAATGTCAAAAGTCAGATCGTTGAACTGCCGCATTAACTCTTCCCTGGTGGATTCTTTCAGCTGGATGTCCGATTTCTGCACTGACAGCAACTGCGACCCCGTACCGCAAGCGTAGTCCAGAAGATCGGCGGCAGAATCCCCCAGGGAGTCGCAGCAGTTGGCGTGGTACATCACCAGTTCCAAGAGCGCCACGCAGACGGCTTCGTGGTACAGGATGGTGTAAGCCAGGAAGGTGTTTTTGGGTGCCGGGTCCAGTTTGAGCAGCTGCGGCAGGATCTTGTGCTTCCAGATGTTAATGAGGATGGCTTCGTGGACGAGGACCGGAGATTTCTGCAAGGTGACGAGGGTTTCTTTGACGTGCTCCTCGCGCACTTGGGAGGCTTCAATGAGGGCTTCTTGGTTGAGTTTCTGGAGGCGCTGGTGCCACTCGAGCCACCTGGAGGAAGTCGGTTTGAGATTGAGGGGTGTGTGGGTTTGGGGGTTACTGTTTGCTTCCCACGTCGCGGATGTTCTGAGGGGTCATCGTGTCGACGTAAAATTCGATTTCTGTGGGTAAGAGAATGGCGTCCATTTTTGGGTGATTGATTAAACGCCAGATGGTTTCTATGGGAATGGTGGTGAAATTTTTCAAGGGATGTTCTATGTAAATAACTTTAGACCAATTTTTACTTCCCGAGCGTAAGCAAAGGAAGTATTGTAATCGAGTCCGTCGGCCGACTCTCTACTTTTACGTTTTCTCGATCTTTCATGACCCCTAGAAGACGAAGAAATAGGTCCCCCATTTCCGTCTGTCTGTCCGTCTGTCCGTCTGCCCCCGGATTTTTATTAGACAGATAATCTCCGAAAGTACTTGACCGACTGTTGTGAAATTTTGTACTTATATTAAGAATATCATGTAGATGGTAAAACGCTAACCAAAATTTGTCTAATCATCCCCACCACTAATGCGATGACGTCACTTCAAAATTGTACATAGTAAATGGGTTTTCAATTGTATAAAATAACATAGTCCTACACATGTAGTTTACAACTCTGAATCGACTTTTCACCCGAAACGTCCAGATTTTTGGAAAAAAAATCAAAATTATAAAACATTTTGAAATTTAATTTTTAATCTGCTAACCAGAATGCTTTGAAATGTTGCAGATGTTTTAAGGCTATAAAGAGCATCATAAATCTTTAGTCAAAAAATATTTGCTTATCCCCTCCAAAAACTTGATGACGTCAGCTCAAAAGTTTGTGGAATAAATCATATCTAAAATGTACAAAATATAATGAGTCTGTACTTGTGATCTATCACTCCATTCATATTTTTTGGATTTGCATATACAGGGTGACTCAAAAAAATTAATGAATGCTTAAATTTATTTTACTGATTTACTCAGGAACTACAAAACCGAATGCTTCGAAATCTTGCAGACATTTTAAGGTTATAAAGAGCATAATAAATGTTTAGTCAAAATATATTTGCTTATCCCCTCCAAAACATTGATGACGTCAGCTCAAAAGTTTGTGGAATAAATCATATCTAAAATGTACAAAATATGATGAGTCCGTACTTGTCATTTATCACTCCATTCATATTTTTTGGATTTGCATATACAGAGTGACTCAAAAAAATTAATGAATGCGTAAATATATTTTATTGATTTAATCAGGAACTACAAAACGGAATGCTCTGACATCTTGCAGATGTTTTAAGGTTATAAAGAGCATAATAAATGTTTAGTCAAAATATATTTGCTTATCCCCTCCAAAAACTTGATGACGTCAGCTCGAAAATTTGCCGAATAAATCATATCTGAAATGTACAAAATATGATCAGTCTGTACTTGTGATCTATCACTCCATTCATATTTTTTGGATTTGCATATACAGGGTGATTCAAGAAAATAAATGAAAGCGTAAATTTATTTTACTGATTTACTCAGGAACTACAAAACCGAATGCTTCGAAATCTTGAAGATATTTTAAAATTATCATAAGCATGGTAAATTTTTGATCAAAACGTATTTGGTCGTCCCCCCTAAAAAATTTATGACGTCACCACAAAATTTTGCTGAATAAATCCTATCTAAAATGTACAAAATATGGTGAGTCTCTTCTTGTGATTTATCATTCCATTCAAATTTTTTCGATTTGCATATACAGGGTGACTCAAAAAAATTAATGAATGCGTAAATTTATTTTATTGATTTAATCAGGAACTACAAAACCGAATGCTTTGAAATCTTGCAGATGTTTTAAGGTTATAAAGAGCATAATAAATTTTTAGTCAAAATATATTTGGTTATCTTCTACAAAAAACTGATGACGTCAGCTCAAAAGTTTGCCGAATAAATCGTATCTAAAATGTACAAAATATGATGAGTCTGTACTTGTGATTTATCATTCCATTCATATTTTTGGATTTGCATATGCAGGGTGACTCAAAAAAATTAATGAAGGCGTGAATTTATTTTATCGATTTAATCAGGAATTACAAAACCGAATGCTTTGAAATCTTGGGAATATTTTAAAGTTATTATAAGCATGGTAAACTTTTGTTCAAAATGTATTTGTTCATCCCTCCTAAAAAAATTGATGACGTCCCCTTAAATTTTGCTGAATAAATCCTATCTAAAATGCAAAAAATATGATGAGTTTGTACTTGTGATTTATCATTCCATTCATATTTTTTAGATTTTCTTAAGAGGTGGTTCAAAAAAATTAATGAAGTCAATTTATTTTATTGATTAAATTAAAGGCAACACTTATTATTAGTATTACACCCCAACCAACCCAATTTGGTAGACACAAAATTTGTTAAAGGAAAAACTCGGTTGAAACATAAGGGTAGCACGCTTATTTACATCGACTTTAACATTACAGACCTGCATTTGTTTTCTGCGGTCACTTGGTTCCGCGAATGCGAAATAGACATGTTTATAATCAACCTATTGTGAATTTCACCGTCAAGAATTAAAATAAAACCCAATGTTTTATATAATAAGCGGAAGTCGAAGCAATAAAACCGATGGTCGTTTTGTTTACAGTTTCTCTGTTTGACTCTCAGTATGCTGTTACGCTTGTCATCTTAAATTAAGAATGTTTATACATAAACGATTTTCAGTTGCCGTATACGTGAGTAAATCGTTTCGTTATTTTATTGATTATAAAAAATCAATATTCAAAACGACCCAATTCATTTTCCCGAAAATTTGAGAATATAATAATTTTATTCTTAGTATTACACTACATCTATCCCAACTAATATACGTGTCCTTGCAAAAATGTTGATGACGTCATCGCAATTTTTTTTTAAATTCCCACTACAAAAATGTAATGAGAAAAAAAACACAATAGGCATGCAGTCCTCAAGTTTCCGACAGCGAGGGAAGTACTGTTTAAACTCTTTAGACCAATTTTTATTTTTGATTTTTTACATCTCATTTTACAAAACTTCACATAAAAAGAACTACACTTAGTACACTACATCTGAGAATCAAAATATACAACGTTAACTGTATCCGAGTATTGAGCACAACATTTTGCGCGACACGAGCCGCCGCAGTATATATATCTTGCACAACCATTACAACCATTTAAAATTTATAAAGCTGGCAAAATATTTTCCATACAAAAAAATATATTCATTTATCAGTCACAATAATTATTGTTTTATGTACAAGGACGTTATTCTGTTCACGAAACAGACACGATATAAACATCGGGCAAGATTAGTGTTAACAACAATAATATCAAAGAAATACATCTGATGTATGTACAGCTATAATATACAGCTGCCTAAATATTTTAAAATAAATGGCACAATTCACAGCAATTAATAAAACAAAATTTTAATCTGATATGTCACTAGATCTCTTCGGGGGCGGGAGTGGGCGCCTCGTCGGCGGGGTGCTGCAAGAGGACGGCTTTTTCTTCGCCTCGACCACTCCCGGTGCTGTTGTAGACCGAGTCGTATACGGGATTGGCGAAATTGCCAGACTAAAACAAGTCGGGTTTAAAAATGGGCGGAGTCGGGGAAATTCGACCAATCGCTCACCTTATCGGCGTCCAACGTAAACGGTTCCGCGTCCCTGTCCTGGTACATGGGATTGTTAAAATCGTTCTCTTGGAGTCTTTCGTGCGAGAACGACTGGCGCTTTTTGAGGAAGAAATCAAACGCCAGAAAGCCGACCAAAATTACAATAATCACGACGACGGCTGATATAACGGGGACCAACATGCCCCTGCCTCCGTCTTTTTGAGGGATGGCTTTATCCAAAGATTTGACGATGAGCTGGTCGCATTTGACGCCCTCGAACCCGTCAGGGCACCTACAGAACGGCAAACCGTCGCTGACGTCACAAGTGGCGCCATTTTTACAGTAATTGGAACAAACAGCCAGAGATTCGCATCGGGGGCCCGTCCACGTAGGCGGGCACTGACAGATGGGGTCGATGTGGGGGGACAGAATCTGACATACTCCGCCATTTCCACAAAAACCGGCGCACTTGTCCAAGTTACCAACGTAAATCTGAAAAATATTTTCTTAGATACTGACATTGTTGAAGTATATTATAGTTGGACAACCTAGTACAAATTTTACTTCGCCTAAATAGTGAGCTTTAGGACAAGGAATCCAGGGGGCGTGGGACAAATTTTTCGTCAACGCGCATTTTCACTACTCTACATCAGATGGCGCCATCAAACATTAGCAAAGGCAAACACCCTTCACTCTGCTCTTATACGAGGAGTTATCCATAAATCCCATAATTAACATTGTTCCGTAAACAGTAATGTGTATAAACATATATGTACAAAATATGAAAATGTACTTGACATAAAAAATATGAAGCAACGCGTTGTAACGTGATACGAAAGAATTGTATTTAAATGAATTTGACGCCTACTTTTATTTGATTATATCTGAAGACTGACAGAAACTTTCCATACTTTCCAAGGGTTTTTAAACTGGTATAATTATAATATTGTGATTTATAAATACGCTATTGGGATTTTTTGGCTTGTCGATTTCTCGATTCTTCAACTTTAAATGTCTCAATTTTTCAATATTTCAATTTTGGGCTTTTCCGATTCTTCCATTCTTCAAATTTTCTATTTCTCGATTTTTTTATTTTTCGATTTCTCAATCTTTCGGTGTTTCAATGACACGATTTCTCAATTTTTCTCCTCTTCAATTTTACGGTTTTTAAATATTTCAATTTTTCAACTTTTCGATTTTTGAATTGGATACTTTTTGGATTTTCAATTTACTGTAAACTTTGGATTTTTCAATTCTGCGACTGTTTAATGCTTCGATTTCTTAATTTTTCAATTTTTCGATTATTCAATTTTTTAATTTCTCAATTTATGGAATTCAGATGTTTCGTTGTTTTGATTGTTCAATTTCTCAATTTTTCAATTTTTAACTTTCCTTTTCGGCTTCCGACTCAATTTCTCGATCCTCCGATTTTTCGAAGTCTCAGTTTTTGAATTTTTCGATGTTTCGATTTTTGGATTTCTCGGTTTTTCGATTTTTTTCTTTTGAGCCTTTCAATTTCTGGATTTTCCAATTTTTCAAATTGAATTGGATTTCTCGATTCTTCAATTTTGCCATATTTTAATTATTCAATGTTTTAAATTTTAGATTTTTCGATTTCTCGACTTTTCAGTTCTGCAATTCTTCGATTTTTCGACTTCGCTTTATTGGTTTTTGGATTTCTCAATTTTTGGATATTTCTTTCAGTTTTGATATTTTTCAGTACTTCGATTCTTTGATTTTTCGACTTCTAGATTTTTCTATTTTTTATTTTTGGATTTTCAGTTTTTTGTTTTTTATACTTTAGATTTTTCAATTTTTCGATTGTTTTATACTTCAATTTCTCAATTTTTCAACTTTTCCATATTTTAATTTTTAAATTTCTAGATTTTTCGGTTTCTCGAGTTCCAGTTCTATATTTTAATTCTTCAAATTTCCGAATTTTTAAAATTTTAAGATCTCAATTTATTGAGATTCGGATGTTTCGCTGTTTTGATTATTCAATCTCTCGCTTTATGATTTTTTCCATATTTATGTTTTCGATTTTTCGATTTTGGCCTATTTCGGCTTCTCAATTTTTTGATTTTTCGACTTCTCGATTTTTCGACTCCTCGAGTTTTTTGTCTTTTGATTTTTCGATTTCTCGATGTCTCAATTTTTGAATTTTACAATGTTTCGATTTGTTGGTTTTTCGGTTTCTCGATTTTTCCATGTTTCGATTTTTGATTTATCCGATTTTTCATATTTCCAATTTTTTATATCTTCGAGTTTTCGACTCGTTGATTTTTCAGTTTTTCGATTTTTAAATTTTAGATTTTCGAATTTTTATTTTTTTGATTTTTTGATGTTTGGATGTCTCCATTTTCGGTTTTAGGATATTGTTACGATTGACGGACGAATAATAAATCGGGTGTTGGTAAAACTCAAAAAATTTATTTCTTCAGGTCGAATTACAACACTATCTATTGCGACGAATATGTACAGAAATTATTCCGGCGCTCTCGACTGTCTTCACTGGATGAATGAATCCATTACCTACGGTCGCCTCTATTTAAACCCATAGTCTCTGATCGAGATCCTTCACAAACATCCATCGCGACTCCGCTTCGAGACTCCCCTGGACGCCGCTTCGAGACGCTCCAGACCTGTCTTTATGCGCCCGCCTCTCGGCCGTCAACAGCGATGATTCACCCATCAGCGCCGTGCGTACGTCCAGAAGGCTCTCGACCGCCATAGGCGTCGTACTGGGGCGGCGTAAGGGTGTATTTCGTAACACTGCCCCCCTCTTCAAATCCGATCGTCCCGATCGGAAGCGTCTTCGTTGTTTCCTTCGTACCGTTTTAGTCGATCGAGATGAACGATCTTCATCTTCGTCTTTGGTCCACGTTGGATCCGATAAACTACGTCATTTATTCTAGTGACGATAGTGTATGGACCTTCCCAGTCAGGAGCCAGTTTTGGGCAACGTCCCTTCTTCCGTCGGGGGTTATACAGCCACACTAAGTCATCTTCCTGGAATCCGCCACAGTTGGCCTTCACATCATAACGGGTCTTCATTCGGTCACTGGCAATCTTGATCCGGCCCCTCACTAGTTCATGCACGTTGACCAACTTCTCTTTCAGTTCGTCCACGTAGTCACGTACTTCCATTGGTTCTTCGGATGGCAATCCAAAGACTAGGTCACAGGGCAGCCGCAGTTCCTTCCCAAATACAACGTGAGCAGGTGTTTGGCCCGTGGTGTCGTGGATAGCTGCGCGGTAGGCCAGCAGGAATAGTGGAAGGTGCTGGTCCCAATCCCTTTGGTGCTCTTCTACCACTTTCGAAAGGTGTTGCTCCATAGTCCGATTGAACCTTTCCACCATGCCGTCGGACTGTGGGTGTAGTGGCGTTGTCCTTGTCTTACGTATTCCCAGTAGCTGCATCACTCTTTGGAAGACGTTGGATTCGAAATTGCGTCCCTGGTCTGAGTGAAGTTCCAAGGGGACGCCAAACCTACTGATCCAATTGTCAACCAGTACTTTCGCGACCGTGACGGCTTCCTGATTTGGAATGGCATAGGCATCTGGCCACTTGCTGAAGTAGTCGCTAGCCACCAGGATAAACTTGTTGCCGTCGTTTGTTACAGGGAACGGACCGGCCACATCGATGGCGATTCTTTCGAAAGGTGCCCCAACATTATATTTCTTCATCTTTCCCCTCGCCCTGGTATGAGGACCTTGGCTGGCCGCACACGTCGTACACTTGCGACACCAACTTTCGACATCGTCACGATGACCTACCCAATAAAACCTCTCCCGGATTTTCGACAAAGTTTTGTTCACTCCGAAGTGGGCTCCAGATGTTCCGGCATGAACTTCCTCTAAGACCTTGGAAACCTTTACCTTGGGGAGGACCAGCATCGTCTTAGAGGTACGCCCATCAGGACTCTCCCACTTTCGCTTCAAGAGCCCATTTTCCATGACCAAGGAATCCCATTGGGCCCATAATGCCTTCAAACTGGGGGATTGGTCGGACAATTCTGCCCAGCCGGGTCGTTCGACTCCTTCCTCCTTCCACTTTAGTATTGGTCCGATTATGTCGTCTGCTTCTTGCTCACGCTTTAACCGCGCCGTTGTCCATTCTTCATCTTGCTCAAAAATCGTCCGACGAACGGGCAGGTTCCCTTCTTCCGCGTCGATCCTGTCGCAGTGCTTGCACTCTCCACACGGACGCCTTGACAAAGCGTCAGCGTTGTTGTGAAGTCGACCCGCTCGGTGTTTGATCCTAAAGTGGTACTGCTGTAGTCTTTCCAGCCAACGCGCTACTTGGCCCTCGGGATTCTTTATCCGCAGTAGCCACGAGAGGGCAGCGTGGTCGATTCTAATCAGAAACTCCTGTCCGTATAGATACTTGTGGAAGTGGTTGACGGCTTTGACAATGGCTAGCAGTTCCTTCCTTGTGGCACAGTAATTTCTCTCTGGTTTGGAATGTAATTTGCTAAAATATTCGATAACCCTTTCCTCCCCATCTTGTATCTGCGATAATACGGCCCCAATTCCCGAGTTACTCGCATCGGTATCGAGGACGAACATTCCTTTGTCCCTGGGGTAAGCCAAAATGGGGCTGGTGCACAAAGCCGTCTTCAGTCTCTTAAAGGCCATCTCACATGTACTGCTCCACTTGAAAGTCGCCTTCTGCTCCGTCAGTTGGTGTAACGGTGCTGCGATGTCGGCATACCCTTCTACAAATCGTCGGTAATCTGTGCAGAGTCCCAAGAAGCTTCGTAGTTCATGCTTGTCTCTTGGTATGGGCCAATCCCGGATAGCAAGAACTTTCGTCGGGTTGGTTTCTATTCCTTTCTCCGACACGATATGGCCCAGGAATTCGACTCTTTTCTGGAAGAGCGAGCATTTCTTGTGATTTAGTTTCAAACAAGCCTTTTCCATTCGTTCTAGCACCTCCTCGAGATTCTTCAGATGGTCGTCAAACGTTTTGCCCATAATCATGACGTCGTCGAGGTATACCAGACAGGTCTTCCATGTCAATCCTTTTAGCACCATCTCCATCAGCCGCTCGAATGTTGCTGGCGCATTACATAACCCGAAGGGCATAACGGTGAAGTGATAGAGGCCACTTCCGGTGGAGAACGCAGTCTTTTCTTTGTCGTCCGGGTGCAAGCCTACTTGCCAGTAGCCACTCTTCAAGTCCAAGGTCGAAAACCACGCCGAGCCGGATAAGGTCGTCAAGGTATCGTCTATTCGAGGAAGGGGGTAACTGTCTTTCTTCGTGACGTCGTTCAGTTTCCTGTAATCGACGCAAAATCGGGTAGTCCCGTCCTTCTTGGTAACCAAGACTACTGGAGATGACCACGCGCTGTTGGATTCTTCGATTACCCCATCTCTCAACATGTTGTCCACGAGTCTTGTAGCTTCTTCTTGTTTGGCTAGGGGTAGTCTTCGAGGAGCCTGACGGATCGGTTGCGTGTCACCAGTGTTTATTCGGTGTTCTACGATGT